TTCGCCTTCGTGTCGAGTCAGGTCTTCCTCAGTGAGCCATCTCCTCGAATGAGGCATCCTTACTCAGTGATGCCTTTTTATACACGACGCTGATGGTGGATATAATGATAATGTCCGGTGATAACAACTTGTTTTTCTTCCGAGCATAATCATCGCGCACATCGTGCAGAAGTCGGTGTTATTATCAGCTTTGTGCTGTGCTGCTGCTTTTGTTGTTATACGCTCTGTTCTAGCTGATAATAACACCGACTTCTGCACGATGTGCGCGATGATTATGTTCGGAAGAAAAACAAGTTGTTAACACCGGACATTATCATTATATCCACCGTCAGCATCGTGTATAAAAGGTCATCACTGAGTAAGGATGCCTCATACGAGGAGATGGCTCACTGAAGAGGACCTGACTCGACACGAACGCGAAGCTGCCACGTCGAGACGAATAACAAGCGAGGACCATCGACTCGGATCATCGGCTCTGAGGGAAACGAAGACGTCGAAACGTTAGCCGAAAATAAACATCATTATCAACTTAGCTAAGTTTTGCGGGTACATCTCTAAGTGAGGTGGTCACTTATGTTGTTCACCTCTTATCCAGTAAACTTGACTGTTGGATTTCTCAACTACTTATCTTCTGGTTTCCAATTTTCAAGAGTTCGTTGCAATATCCCTGAACTGGGGCACTTTTTTGGTCTACTTAACTTAACCCTCAAGCTCGTACCTCAAAGGAAAACTTTTATGCTAAATATTTGGAGGACCACATCTGGAGGAGAATAGTGAGCGGGTCAGTGTTGATTTGCAACTCTATTAGGTCTAATGCTAAAGTGGCTTTGCGAAGAAAATTCGAAGACGTTTTGAGTAAATCACATAACACAGCTTCAATAGCGCACAAAAATATCGCTAAAGAACATCAAACAGATCACATTAGGATAGGTAATGTGCAAGAAAATTCAAGGCTAACCGTGTTAGGAGGCATAACTCTCCCTGACGGTGCGCGCTCGTTATTAGAATTGGGGCCGAGTTTCTCACCATCTGAACCCATTTCTAAGATAACCTTGCGTAGGGTCGCATGTGGTTTACATGAACTTCAAGATAGACTCCGCAAAAAAGCTAGAGATGAAGCGCTAAATAGGTGCAAACAACATCAAGTGGGCACCCTACCAATAGCACCATTTCCCCCGACGTTCTTTAGACAACAAGAGCCCAATAATGAAGTTGATGTTAAATTTCGGATGTTTGCGCATGAAACTTTCAAAGTCCTTAATCACTATCGCGCGAAAAGATACAGCTCCAACCTCACTCCAGTGTAAAAACGTGATATGCGAGAGGTACGAGACCTGATAAGGTTGAAAACCATAAGACTTTCCGTTAGTGATAAGGGTGGAGAGTTTGTCGTAATTCCTCATCAGTTGGATGTGGAGATAACGAAAAAGCATCTTGAAGATGCTTCGCTTTATCGCCCATCATCTGAGGAAGAATTCAAAAGTAAATACCGAAAACTAAACCACGAATGGGCCAAAATGGCAAGGGCTGCTGGTTTGAAACCATCAGTTATCTCTCAACTTAAACNTCCAGTGTAAAAACGTGATATGCGAGAGGTACGAGACCTGATAAGGTTGAAAACCATAAGACTTTCCGTTAGTGATAAGGGTGGAGAGTTTGTCGTAATTCCTCATCAGTTGGATGTGGAGATAACGAAAAAGCATCTTGAAGATGCTTCGCTTTATCGCCCATCATCTGAGGAAGAATTCAAAAGTAAATACCGAAAACTAAACCACGAATGGGCCAAAATGGCAAGGGCTGCTGGTTTGAAACCATCAGTTATCTCTCAACTTAAACCTAACCCAACCTAAACCTAAACCCTTAACCCTTACCTCAACTTAATATGACCGTCTATGTGCAACTCAAAATTGCATAATTTGCCCCAGTGGTAGAGACGGTGATTGCATGAGCTCGGGTATAGTTTATCTTGTAAAGCGTGCGGAGACGAGTACGTTGGCGAAACGGGTAGACCCCTCTGTGTCCGCATGAAAGAACACCTAGCCGGCAAAAATAGACTAAATACCCCGCTAGGCACGCATAGGACCCAGAGACATAACGGGGACAACTTCGAAGTAAGTGTCACGATCCTCGCACGCGAATCGAGAACACAGGCGCGAAAAACCCTCGAGGCACTCTGGATTAATTCCAGAAATCCGAAAATGAACCGCAGGGAAGAATGCCTCATTATCACGCGTGATATAGGGCAGTATATAAGACTGCTTTTCTGATGTGAGGGGCACATTATACTTCCACGTGATTTCTGTGCGGTTGGTCTCTACGTGACATACTTAGTGGAAACCTCATAGAAAGCGGTGAGTGTGCAAAGCTGTGTTCAAAGTGATTGGAATCTTGGTTTGGAGTTTCTTTGTTTGGTTATGGAGGCGTCTGGCCGAGTGAGTTGCTGTCAACTTGACCTTTCCAGGCTCTGAAGAAGGCGAAATCCGCCGAAACGTCAGCTTAATCGTGAACAAAGAACAATAACACCTCGCGTTTGCTCAAAAAAATACGAAGAAAATCTTTTTTCAAACTAATTTTGCTACGACTTTTCCGGATGTATCGTTATTTGCTTTAAGGATATGTCATTTTTTTTTCATAGTTTCTCCAGTTCTTTTGTTAAACGAAGGGCGGCAGCCACAACGGTAGTGATGTCGTTCATCATGATCCGTTGCTGCTTCGACTCTGTGCTAAGCTCACCAAGCCCCTCATCCCTCAAAGATTGGGAAATTGCTGCCAGACTTCTATGGGCACATTCCACCTTCCGCAAATCCAAATAAGTTCACTTTAGTCTAGCTATTCCAGTACTCCATGGAAAATCGACTTGATCAGCATTCAACGACGTTCCTTATGGAGGGCGACAATCCTCAAACAGCAACCGAATCTCCACTAGGAAAGTTCGAAGATCTGCGTGTACGATGCATGCAAGGAAGCGTATCGAATGCAAAAATGCAAGGATACGGACAACAGATGTGATGGCAGGTCGTGTAAAGAAATCGCTCCCAGGAAACTTATTTTCGTCAACTTTTCTTAGATACTCTGATGGTTTGTTCTCATGTGACATACGGTCTCCAGCATTTCTTCAATCGTTTCGCTATCTTACAACAAGATATTCTGTGGTCTTCTCCTTAAGCAGTCACCAGTACTCGCCGTTCACAAAAAGGCTTCATGCCTTGTTACTAGAATTCATCAAACACCGCATCACCAATTCTGGATATTGCTCGGACTGTCTCTCCATTGGGAACGACATGACACCTCGGATCACCAGGTCTTCGTTGCACAGTCTGTAAGCGCACCCATTAAGAATTCATTATTGCTCCTCTTATGTTTTCGTGTTCTATTTTTTACGGGGCAGCATCGATCAGTGTGTTATCAAAAGCATTTTTAAAGTCTTGAACAAGGTCAAGACTTCCTTGTTTTTTTCTTTCTCAAGGCGAAAATAGTGGAGTCAAACTAGATAAGCACTCTATGGTAACCTTTGTACCCTATTCTAAGTTACTTGTTTACCATTAAACCGTACCGGTTCTTCTTGTGCTACAACCTCCTCTTCCATTCTAGTGGACCAGTACTGCAGTTTCGACTTTGTTATTCGAATGTCCTCTTTGATTTATTTTGATTGTCATGTTTTCGATTCCATTTGATCAGATTTTTTCTTACTATGACAATATGTTGGTTGTTTTCCTTCCTTACAATGTGACGGTATCAATTCAATCGAGCGACATGCATTTTTCTTCATGGCTGATGTAACCTGTTAAACGTTTCGAGCATAGTTTTCCGTCGTGACAAAAAACGTAACGCCTTTAAACTTACTGTGTAAAGCAACTGATTCAAGTCTCGGTAGTGTATTTTTGCCGCTCTTATCTTTGCTTCTACCCATTAGCTCCATCCGATGTTCAGGTTGAAGTCAGGGTTTGTTAATTCGTATTTATCACTCAGGATAAGACATCCATGCCGCTTCGTCAATGGTTGTAATAGATATTCAGAATTTACTTTCCGCATCTAGTGAATCACTTATTGTATTAGTTTCCATCTACGTGTGTCCGATAGAAATTGATTAGAGATATCGCGCAATAATACGTTTATAGTTGCTGGTTTGATCACCCTCCTCTGTCCTACTCCCCACTTACCAGCCGAGCCTACCATTTCTCCGAATTTTCGGGAAATCCATGCCAAACTTATCTGGAAAAAGGTGAAAGGTTCTTTTTGATCAAAGGAGGTGGTGAAGACATGTGAACGCCCTAGCAGAGCTATCCCAAGACTCGTATATAATGCTGAGATATTTGCAAAGCTCCGGACCGCAGGTGTATGCGGTGGGGAACGAACACGCGCTGTTGTCCTTCCGGGGAGCAGCGCACTTCCCAAGACTATCCCAAGACTCACGCGGTAATCAACTCGATCAGCATTGATGGACACTCTCGAAGACAACGAAGTCCTCAAGTGGTAGCAGAGCTCTCACGCAACTCCGCAAATCGTCGTTATACGTTGATACGTTTCTTTCAAGCGAACACATAATGCTCTGATGATTTCGAAGCCATTTTTACCTCTGCTAGCCTTCATTTTTGTAAACTTCTTCTTTCCGATTTCTTTCATACTTTAGTAACCATTTTTGCTCGTAAATAAAGAACGAAACAAAGGCATTCCTTTATGTAAAACATCATTAAGCTATAATCTGTGAACATTCGACTCAACCTAGGATGTTACCATAGAAGAAGCTGAACATATCGGACGTGTTTTCTTCTAGTACCCAATATTCTTTGCCCTCTTCGGTCCTTCCCAATGCCTCTCAGTAAGTTGGCAAGCCACGATTTTTGGTCTACAGTGCTAAAATCCTGGTAACTATTCTTATCAGATTACATCGTGCAATCTTCTATGACTTACTTCCTTTACGAATTAGTGTTGTAGCTCCAGAAATTAACGAGCTGACCACCATTGCTATTGCAATTGTCTGCTTATATCCTTGACACTTGATGATTCCTTATCGCCAATTATTTTCCAATTACGCAAAATTACAGGTTATCTAACTAATAATTTGTTCAGGGACTTAATAGGATTCCCTATTATTAAAGCACCGAATAATTTATCTGTGTAGGCAGTGTCAGATTTTAGTTGTACGGTAGCAATTTTTTAAACGTATAGAGATTAAGGGCGCGTGTATGTGGTGCAGTGGTCGGAGGCGCCTTGCAACAAACACGTGGAATCGATCTCCGCGCCTATGGCCCACCAAACCTTCAATCTCTCCGGGGTCGAAAAATTGGTGGCAGACTTGTCTGGGAGGATAGCAACAATGACTCGTTACATCGGTAGGCCACCGCGAGTCATTGTAGAAGCCAGATATGCATTCAATCACCTCCAAACGATGCTTAATGAAGTCGAATGCATGGCGCATTCCTCAGGGATTGATCAATACCAAGAACTTTATCCTTTTTTATTTTATAGAGATTAAGAATGGATTAATGTAAAACTGATGAGTAACGGAGTTTTTAAACATAGCTAAGGTTACAAACTGATGCTGCTTAAAATCTGGAAACATCACAATTTCATTGTAGCAGAAGTGCTTACATTGAAATACTAGGTACCTTATTACGTATGAATTGGTCCTTAAGAGTTCACATAGGGGATAGGGGGTAAAGTGTCCAACGTTGTCAAGTGGCTAGGCACTCGCAATGTCCAATACTCCACAAAGGACTACTATTGTATCTTGTCAGCATGCCTGTTTTCTCAGCAAGGCTGGCACCAACTTGTCGACCCTGGGGGTGGGGAATTTGTTAGCTCGGGCATCCATCCACCCAAGAAGCCTGTGTATAGCGCTGCACTGTAGATATAACGCTACACTTGACGAACAGTTCACATTTCATTTTACATGCTATAGTTTTACTTGATTTTAAAGGTTGTGAAAACCGACGACCGTTCAGTGGCTCGGGATCTGGGAATCGTTACGTTCCCGTCATTGGTGTACTATCGAAGGAAACATCCGATTCTCTATGATGGTGATTTGTTTTCGATTTCTCAACACTTTGTCGTGAGAACATTTTCATTTAAGTCGTAATTCATGAGTGTTTTGCATTCACTTCGGGAATTACGTTATTCCAGGTGAGTTCAAGGATTCAGAGGACGTATTACGTTGGCTACGATCTCATGAGGAGGTCGTCACTTGGGATTTAACCGACGATAATTTCGAAACTCGTACCGATTCACATTCACCAGATGAGGGTACACTCGATTGGTTTGTGATGTTGTGAGTTTTTATAAGCTCTACCATTTTTATAACTGCTAAAAGGTAATGAAATTCTCGATTTTCTCGTCTGTGGAGTCTCTAATGAAGTCTCTTCGGTGAATCTTCTTCTCCATTGAAGCGAAATGACTTTTGCAAACGTGATAGCCTTGGATTCGATCACAAGAAATTCTCATCGAAGAAAAAACAGTCTTACCTTTTACTATCATCTCAGCTTTTTTCGTCCTTGAAAGAGGAGCTTATTGAGAACTAGTGATTTAAATGGTATTAGTTCCCAGGATCGACTTTCTATTAACCTCGGCATTGGAACATGAATGCGTCGTTTTCTTGTTTAGCAATCGCGAGGTTTTTAAACAGCATACATTTACTTCCATAGAAAAACACAATACAATACAACGCTAGCTGACGTTTCGGCAGTATCGCCTTCTTCAGAGCCTGGAAGGGTATACTGATATACAATCTACTAGGCCAAATGCTTCAAAATTGCGTGCGTAATTTGCCCTTTTGGCAGGGACGGTGATTGCATGAGTTCAGGTACGATATACCTTATCTCTTGTAACAATTGCGGAGATGAATATATTGGCGAAACGGGCAGACCTTTGTGTATCCGTATAAAAGAACACCTAGATGGCAAACAAAAACTAAGACGAAGCACCCCACTAGGCACGCATAGGATACAAAAGCATAGCGGAGACGATTTTGAAGTAAAAGTCAATATCCTTGCACAGGAGTCCAAAACACCAGCGCGAAAACTTCTTGAGGCTTTTTGGATCAATGCTAAAAACCCTACAATGANGGCAGGGACGGTGATTGCATGAGTTCAGGTACGATATACCTTATCTCTTGTAACAATTGCGGAGATGAATATATTGGCGAAACGGGCAGACCTTTGTGTATCCGTATAAAAGAACACCTAGATGGCAAACAAAAACTAAGACGAAGCACCCCACTAGGCACGCATAGGATACAAAAGCATAGCGGAGACGATTTTGAAGTAAAAGTCAATATCCTTGCACAGGAGTCCAAAACACCAGCGCGAAAACTTCTTGAGGCTTTTTGGATCAATGCTAAAAACCCTACAATGAATAGCAGGGATGAATGCCCGGAGGTCATACACGACACCTGACCCCGTGTGTTCGCATCGATTTTTGATGTGGGATGGTGCAGTCATCAACCATATGCGACTATAATCAGCTGTTCTAAACTTCCTCATTGGAAGTCACGTAAAAAGCGGTGAGTTTTTCGAGAAGCTGTTGATCACGTAATTACCATAGAGTTTTTCGTCTTTTTGTAAGTGTCATTGAAGCGTTTGGCCTAGTAGATTGTATATCAGCATACCCTTCCAGGCTCTGAAGAAGGCGATACTGCCGAAACGTCAGCTAGCGTTGTATTGTATTGTGTTTTTCTATGGAAGTAAATGTATGCTGTTTAAAAACCTTGCGATTGCTGAACAAGAAAACGACGCATTCATAAATGGTATTATTTGTCAGCCGAAATGGTACGGATAGCACGGTGGTAGTGATACCGGTCATCACGGGCATGGTGCTAGTTCGATTCCGATTCGGGTCAACCATGCCCCTCTTCCCTTCGGAGTCGATAAGTCGGTGACAGCATTCTACGACATTCAAGATGAAATGTAAACTCTCAAACAGTAGCCGAAGCCACACGTGAAAGTTGGAAGATCTTTGTGGACAATGAATGCGAGAAGACGAATTGCATGTGAGAAGTGCTGGGATCCGCAAAGTAAATGTGAAAACGAGTCATGTAGAATAAAAAAGTCTTCGGCTATTTTTAGACGAACTAAACCAAGTTAATCGTGAAAAAGTTTCTAAAAAAACAACAGCGGATTAGCACGCGATAGTGATCTGAGCCGACTTCTTCTCAAAGCGCAACTTTTTTTTACTCCATTATTTTCGTTATAGAGACACATTCCATTAAAAGTTACTGTAGGCAGCTGGTAATTGGATATGATAATTAAGTGCGTTTATAACAATTGCAGTTACGATGCTGATGATGCTCCATGCAATTCGTTTATTGCCACGTGGGAAACGGTCGCCCATAAGTGAGTTGGTGTTTCTTTTTCGGTTTAGAAGAGTCATTTAGGTCGAAATTAATGTCATTCCTTATCATTTTGAGAATCTCCAACCAGTTATTTATGAGGCTACATGGTACATTCACAGAAGGCTTAGGGAGGGTCTAAAACAAGGACTAAATGCAACCATGTAACCCGTGTGACTTCAGAAGATGGATAGTGCTGTCTACGCTGTGCTGGATTGTTTTGTATTTTCGGTCATATACTTAGTTCTAGTCATCTATACATATATGCGAATTCCTTTACGTCAATTACGCTAATGTCTACTGCAACCGAATAACCGGGGAGTGCATGAAAGGAGATTCGCAGTCACCTTCTTCAAAACTATGTGAGGTTTATCCAGAAGAGCCCGACGAACAAGCCATGGTGGCTGTCGTATTCCAGTGGAAGTAAGTTGCCCCATGTAAGGAGCGTGATACTCTCTCTGCTTCTTCAAGCTCAGTGGCTAACTATAGTATGAGTACGAGGAGTGGGAAATCCATTGGTGCCTGATTAAGTGACTCTGTGACTAATGGCTTCACAGCTAGTACTAGTGCTTGATGATTATTATTTTTCTTATTGCTGAGTTAATTTTTTAGGGCAAGAGGGATAGCGCAGTGGTTAGTGATGGCGTCGATCATGAATCAAAAGACGCTCGTTCGATCCCCGCCCCAACACTCACATCCAATCAGCGTGAGAACGCCTTAGCCCGATTCTTTCTAAGCAAGGAGAATTGGCTCAACCAATATTCCACAACATTCATAAAGAACATGAAATCCTGAAGCGGCAGCCGAAACACATGAAATGTTTGAACACCACTGTGGACGATGAAGTCGAGAAAAATGAATCATACGCAAAAATGCTAAGATCCACACAGCAGATGTAATGACGGGCCATGTAAAAAAATTTTAACAAATTAATATTTTCGGTGTTAAATACTCTTTCTACCCTTATTATAAAGTACCTGGGGCAGTATATTCCAGAGAAATCAAGCAATTTAATAGTTTTGAGAGAATCTGTTTGCATCTTCTTCCGCTACTGAGGACTTTGAAACCATTAATTGATACTATGCTAAAATTTTGTGATGAGTCTGTTGAATAAGTGGTAGCTTCTATGCTATCGATAAAAGTAGGGTAACAGTGGATTTAAGAGGAAAAGTTCCAGGCTTCGTGGTCTGGTGAACGTCGGAAAGGTTGAAACATCTGTGAACGATGACGTCACTGAGCGATTTCATATCGATGAAAATGACTGTCCGACTTTTCTGCTGTAGGTATAAGTAGAAATTTTTAGAAAAGAAAGAATAAAGCCATCGACTGTTAAAGCGTTTTCTAAAGAGAAGGAGTCGAAAGAACATTACTGGCTAACTGTTTTCATTGAGGTTTTCGTTTAGGCTTCACCGTGGTAAAATGTATCGCTATAAAGAAACAGCGAAGGACGTGCGAACTCTCGTTAATTTTGCCTTATTCAAATTTAAGGAACAACGGGGAATGAGGTATGAATTCTACGAAATATTGATTTATTCCCAGCTTTCCACTATTCTTTATGATCTATGTGAAAAGAAGTTAGCATGCTGTTCTGATGCACTGCTGACCATTTTCTATGATAGATTGTGTAATTTACAGAAAAAAAATCGTAGTAGAATAAGTCAGAAAAAGGAACTAGTAGAGGGGACCAGTTAAGAAGTCCTAAGGACTTTTTCCATGTAAAAATAACACCCTCTATTCATTTGTAGAATCGGTAGCAAAGCATTGTGTCACAATTAATTACTCCTCAATATTTGATGTTATACATTTGTAATTTAAGGAAAATATACCTTTTGTAAGGGTGCGTGTAGCGCAGTGCTTAGAGACGTTTTGCAATACAGATGAGTTCGATTCCACGCCTCAGGCTCATCAAACCATCCATCCCTCCAGGGTAGCAAATTGGCGCCAGACCTGTCTAGGAGGAAAGCAACACTGACTCGATACATCGGTAGGCCACCGTGAATCATTGTATAGGCCAAATATGCATACATTCAACCACCACTAACGACGCTTGACAAAGCCGAACGCATGGACCATCCCTCAGGGATGGATCAACGCCGAGAGCTTTACCCTTTATCCTTATTAGAAATTTTTTATTCAGGACCTTTAAATCTCAAGGAAGTCGCCACCGTCTGAATGAAATGTTAGTCGAAACAGCATGCTGAACTTCGACACTAGCAATAAATAGTGGACATACTTAGTGGAAACCTCATAGGAAGCGGCTCTGAGGAAGGCGAAATCCGCCGAAACGTCAGCTTAATCGTGAACAAAGAATAATAACACCTCGCGTTTGCTCAACAAAAATACGAAGAAAATTACTAGCAATAAGTATTGCAATAGAATAGTAAAAAAAACATTTCTAATTGATGGTAGCCTTACGAAGGCGAGTACGGCAGGGCATTATATGAAATACAAATACGATGAAGCTGAGATATTTGCAAAACTCTGGGAAAAAAAATGCAGCCTCAGATTAACTGGGTTCGATTTGTGCTTCCCGGATCAATCCCGTTCATGGGTGGTTCCTGACGGCACTGGTAGATAGAAAACTAGTTAAGAGAAATGCGAAGCAGAGGGCCGACATGATGTGACGGTTAACGCGTTAGCCGCAAGGATAATAGCGTGTTCGATCTCCTTCGGTCCGGAGTTTTGCAAATATCCTAGCCTCATTGTGGTGGAATTTATTGTGTTATTTGCTACCGAAACATTGTCTATGGAATTTCAGGGTTCCAGAGCCACCGACTGCGATCGAACATTTGTATGAATACACGAAGGAGAAAATTGTTAGCATCATGGTGAGATTTTCTTAGAATCTCCCAATTTCAATTCCACAAATTCACAGAATTTCTAAACTGTGTCTTTTGTATTAAATCGATAACCTCATTGCCATAGATGTTAAAGGTATCGTTGTCGAAAGCTACTCTCTACACATTAAAGCCCAGAAGAAAAAACTTTATGACGAGTTTATTTGCCTCTGTGAATTCCGTAGTGATTCCTTCCTCTTTGTAACGACGAAGGAACTCGAATACTGTCGTTAATATGCAGAGTACTGAGAAATCTCTGATTTGTATAAAAGAAATTTGCGAATCCTGCAGCCATTACTTATTTACTGGCAACATAATAGACTGCCACTAATAAGGAGCGTAACTGATGCCCCTGAATTCGGCGAGTATGATGCACATATCACTCATGTGGGCGGTGCTAAAATTTGGGTGTTGCAATGATTATTAACAGTCAGTGTTCACTATTTCTTCCGTGATTCGAATTATTACTATGTTGATCTAGAAGACAATATTTGATGGACAATAGTTATGTTCTTACCATTTTCTATTAGACATATTTCCACTGGGATTTTTTCTTAGATTTTCTCACCACCCTGAAAAATCAGACATAATGTTTCTAAGTATTTAAAATGTTTCCGAAATCATTTGTCTGTTTTTTATTTTGTTTATTCTGGACCCAGAAATCCATGTATAATATCGCGGAAACCTGAAAAAAGGCACAGGAACAAAAGTAAGCCTAGTCCAACTTCAACAGTTTTCTGTCCACTGATTGATTTATTGTAGGAATGTCTCCTATTCGAAGATTCGATGTTTTTCTTCAATAGGCAGACACAAGGTTGTTATTATAGAATTTAGTAGGATACAACAGCTGACGTTTTGGCGGTTTCGCCTTCTTCAGAGCCTGGAAAGGTCAAATTGAGATGCGATGTACTCGGCTAAACACTTTCATAATCCTAGCAGATAAAACTTAACAAATAAATTTGTATTCGCATAAGAACAGCTTCATTTAAACACCTACCGCTTATTTGTTGTAAGTGTTTAAGTTAGTTGATGGATAGCAGCCGCACAGAGTAATACATGGGGGTTAACTGTGTCTCTGTCAGGTCAGTGGATTAGCCTGAGGTATGGCGCCAGGTCACGCGTGATGACAAGACACTTCTTGCGGTTCATTTTTGAATTTTTGGAATAGATCCAAAACGCTTCAAGGGTTTTACGCGCTGGTGTTTTCGATTTGTGCGTGAGGGTAGTGACACCTACTTCAAAATCTTCTCCATTGTGCTCCTGCATCCCATGCGCGCCTGGTGGAGTGCTTGGTTTTAATTTAGATTTACCGACTAGGTGTTCTTTTATGCGGACGCAGAGCGATCTACCCGTTTAGCCAATGTATTCGTCCCCGAACGTTTTACAAGAGATCAGATAGACTGTACCCGAACTCATGCAATCACCGTCTCTACCGTTAGGGCAAATTATGCAGCTTTTTTTTGTACATAGACGGTCGTACAGGCGGTTGCGAACTAGCTGGCGTCTTAGAGTGTCCAGTGGTATTTCTACCACTCTTACGGAATTCTCTAGACCGGCCCATATTAAGCAACGTTTTATAGCTGCACTTATTTCGTTTGAAATAAAAGACAAGAGGAACGGAGCTGTGTTTCGCTAGAATTATCGCTCTGGGGTGTGGGTTTTCCTCTATGCCTATGCCGAGAAGCTACAGTTTCGTAACCATTTGAAATGGCTATTTGGCTATCCTCACGCGCGAATCAAAAACATCAGCGCGTAAAACCCTTGAAGTGTTTTGGATCAATTCCAAAAATCCAAAAATGAACCGCAAAGAGGAGTGCCTTGTCACCACGCGTAACCTAGCGCCATACCTCAGGCTAATCCAATGACCTCACACAGACACAGTTAACCCCATGTATTACTCTGTGCGGCTGCTATCCATCAACTAACTTAAACACTTACAACAAATAAGCGGTAGGTGTGTAAATGAAGCTGTTTCTTATGCGAATGTAAATTCATTTGTTAAGTTTTATCTACTAGAGTTATGAAAGTGTTTGGCTGGGTAGATCACATCTCAATTTGACCGTTCCAGGCTCTGAAGAAGGCGAAACCGCCGAAACTTCAGCTGTTGCATCTTAGTAAATTCTATAATAACAACCTCGTATCTGCTTATTGAAGAAAAACATCGATTTACCAATCAATGCCGAGGTTAACAGAAAGTTGGTCTTGGGAATTACGTGAAGAGTTTTCTCATTGTGGGACTGGTGCTGCGCTGATATTGCCTTCTAGTGTTTGATTGGTCAGAGGCGTTATTGATCGATAACCAGCCAATCTGCGTTGAGAACCACTACTGGATTTATGATGTGATATGGCTGCAGCCTTCTTTAGCGCACTCTCAGAACGATATGTATTATGAGACGTTTCTATTTCTTAATTTAAAAGAAATCAATATATTTGCCTCATTCCAATTTTCTCACATGAACAAGAACAAGCGAACGAACATCCACTTAGCCAAATTCGATTCGTGATGCATGTTGAATGACATCGCAGAAATAGGTTCTAATTAAAAAAGAATTTCCCAGCTTCTGCGAACCTTCGCTCCATTTTCCGCATTTTTAAAAGTGTTTTTGTGAACAACTTGAATCATCTTGAATGGCGTAAATGGTCGACGAATAAAAGAAGTCTACTTAATTAACATACAGTGCCAAGATGCATCGTATGCTATGCATGCGTGGTGGTCAAGATGGACGATATGCATTGCCGTGAATGCATTTCCTTTTTATTCGTTTACTTTGCTGCATGCGCAAGAGCTTCTTCTCCTCACTTTCTGCACTCACCCGTTAGCTTGTCCAAAGCATATCGTATCCAGCGTGGCGTAAGAAAAGCTGTTCTCTACACTTAATAGTTTACGAAGACCTGTTTTCGCGGCGGGTCCAGTGATCGGTAATGTGAGTGGCAACTAACAGTTACTTCATTCCCATTCGCTTTTATGAATCGTAGCTACCGTAATGGGGAGGCGGGCTAGTGGGTGGGTTGCAAGAAATATCAAAAGTGTACAACATAAATTGCAAATCACTTCCAAATACTGATTATAATGTGGTCACATGGTGGACCATAGTGCAATACAGAAAGTCGTAGCACATGCACACCATAGACGCTTCTAGAGCGAAATAGCAGAATTTCCTGTATAATTCTTTAGTGTTCTCACCCCTTAAGTTCTCTAGTTATGGAAATAATTATCTTCTACTCTTTAAAAACCAGAAAGACCGTAACCGATGTGGAATTAAGTGTCACACGACGCGGCAGCCACCCAAATTGGAGCGCCGAGCGCTATCCATTAATAATATAATCGGAAATCCATGTAGCGCAAAAGCCATGTGTACTCTACCAACGATATATCCTTTGTAATGATAACGGCACTAAAGGAAGTAGTAAACGAACTGTTTCAAATTTCAGGAAGACAATCAGATGGTGTCGGCGATTGGCGTAGGCGGTCTGATACTGATGGTTGCCGTGACGCTCATCATCAAAGCATATCGAATTAAACAGGCCGATAAGGCGAAGAGTGCATAGATAAAGACACTGAGTTTACTTTTTGTGATTTTTGTTCCGACTATTCTCCGTGCGGGAAGTCCTTTTGCGTTCATTTGGTTTCCATTCCCTTAAGTAGACAGAATGTAAGATGTGACGTGGACGTTATGCCATCGTGCTCACTGACGTCGTCGAATCATCGTCGGTCATTCCATCATCATATCATTCCTCCTTTCGACGTCCGTCACATCATCGCATTATTCCTGGTTTCGATTTTGAACGCTTGTCTATCAACAATTACATCATCACATCATTCTTGCTCATCTTAACGTTTATTCAAGCTTCAGTATTTCTAGTTGATGTTTTTTTCTTTGTTTGGTCTTTCCCCTCTTTCTCCGTTTTCATTATAGTCATTATCAAAGCCGTTTTAGGATAGTTTCAAGGGTAAACCGTTTTACGATTTATGCTCGTTTAAAACGGTCGTTAGGTTACCGCGCTTTTCTGTGTGTATGAAGTGTATGTAGTGTGTATTTGTATGTCTGTATGCATGTATGCATGTACGCGTGTGTACGTGTGTATGCGCATCCGTGCTTGCTCAGTACTTTTCCCACACCGCTCGTTAACTGATGTTCACAACATGATGGTTATGTTCATAGCTACATGTAGTCATCAGCTCGTTTCCATAGAGAGAGCTAGCTCTACACAATAATATTTTTCAGTTCTCTCCTAACACCAATTTTTTGTACTTCTCTGCTTATTTACATAATGACGAAGATGACGTTAACGTTTCCTTTGCACTTCATATGCTCCAGTAATTCTTTACTTAATGAAAAGTTTCATGACGTTTGCTTTTTTTTGCTTTGTATTTAGTTAATTACTGCATACCCACCACCCTCCTCCATACATCCCTCATTCTGTTCATTTCCCTTCGTCTGTTTGTCTTGGCGCAGAACGAATAAACCTTTTATCAGAATTATCCGGATATAGAATTTAATTCCCGTTAAAAGGTTATTGCTGATGACACTGTTAGGTAGAAAACTAACTGAGAGAAAGGCAAAGCAAAGGCATTAATGTTGCAATGGGTAAAAAATGAGCCCTCAGAAAGGCTAGTCGCGGGTTCGAATCTGGCCTCGAGTCCGAGCTTTGCAAATATCTCACCATAATATTTCAGCAAAGCTGTACCTAGTAAAGTCTTTCTTTCTCTTCTATCCAATCCCTTTAATCCTCCATCAAGCTCTCCACGTTGATTGCTTTTCTTGAATTATATTACTCTTTATTACGTTTGCTATCTATTTTATTTCTCATTCTCTCATCCTCATTTTTTTAACATGCTTTTTTTTTACATTACCGTTCCGTTAATAGACTGCTCTCGCTGTAGTGTTGTTCTTGTGAGGAATTGGACTTCCTAGTTATTTGATGTGGACGAAAATAAATGAAGAGGTTAATAAAAGCTCAGAAATATAAAAAAGACATAATGTTACCGAGACTTTTGAAACCGACCGTCATTTAACCACAGTACCATAATAATCAACATGTTTTTACATTGCTGAGCTTACACGAGGTTGTTAGAGATGTCTATTCGGCTGACGCTTCGACGTCTTCGTCTTCATCAGGATCTTTGTCGATGGTCCACAGTTGTTCCTCATCTCGATGTGGCGTCTTCGTCTCGCATCGGACCGGATCCTCGCGACGCTCTTTTATACAAGGCGGTTGTTGTTGATATGACTATCTGTTGGTGATAATTTATTTTTGAACTGATAATCGGTTTCAAAAGTATTGTTTTGCTAATCGCTATGTGCTAGGTAATAAAATACTGACTGCGGCAGGGTGGATTATCAGTTAGAAAACAAATTATCACCAACTGATAATCATATCAACAACAACCGCCCTGTATAAAAGTGCACCGCGGGTGTGTTCGGCTCATTCGAGATGCTCAACTGAGGGACATCAGGTTCGATGCGAGACGAAGACGCCGAATCGAGAAGAGGAATAACTGTGGACCATCGACAAGGATCGTCGGCTCTGATGAAGATGAAGATGTCGAGGCGTTAGCCGAATAAACATCTCTAACAACCTCGTGTAAGCTCAACAATATGAACAAACGTTACCAAGAATAATAGGTAAATTAGCAGGGTACCACAATGCCTGAAGCAGCAAAACTCCGAAATCAGAAATTATGCTGGCGCTTGCACAATCAGTGAAGACAGGTCATTCAATTATCCAAGTATGTGCCATAGTAGTTAGCTATGAGTTACTGAAGCTAGAAAGGTCAACGAAAGTCTAATATGAAATTATGGAAATCATCAAAGTATATGCAGGATAAGCTCTAAATTCAAAAAAAATAGTAGAAAATGAAAAAGCGTAGGAATGAAGTGGATGGATGTGTAAGAACGCAAAGAGCGCATCCTATGAGAACACGGTCACTGGTTCTTTTGTTTCTTGCAGTAACTATACAATAGTAATCATACTCAAAATTCACACTTCCTCGACCATCTTATACGTACGTATGGAAACCTTTGACCCTTCTCGCTGACTATTACCGTTGTGAACCTATGTTCTTTTCTTCGCAGCTACTTATTTTAAGATAAGTAATGATAATACATTTAACTTATTTTAACGTAAGTAATGGTAATACAAATGGCATGTCAAAAGGTAGCAACTTTGTATTCCCTTTTAGATCCACCAAAATTTGGAAGGTGGGGTTCTCGTGTTTCGCTCAAGATTGACTTATGTTTTCCTATACTCGAAAGTAATGAAATGGTTTGGCGTAGGGGTTAGAGACACCCTGCAATACACATGCGGTTTTGGTCCGACCTCACACCATGGAAAAACCAACGCTTCATCACTCCACGATCGACGCGCCTGTACCAGGCCTCTCTACAAGGTTAAAAATGCTGTTATGTTCATCTATTAGTCATTATGTGGACCAATTGTGTATTTAATAACCTCTACGATACTTCATGAACTCGAATACACGGCTCATCTCTCAGGGATTGAGTAACGCCGGAAGCTTTATCCTTTTATGCTTTATACTCCGGATTATGTTCACCAATAAATTTATGGAGATACCTTTGAGAATCTGCTTTGATTCCTTTTCTCACATCTATTAGAAAAAAAAGTCTGCAAATAAACAACTAAAACAATATATGGGAAGCGGAGTTGTTAGAGATGCAACCCATCAAGAAGCAAGGTTCGACTCTCTCCCAACGCTATTCTCCAATCCACATGGGAACGCCTTACGTCGGCTATCTCTACGACTGCAAGGAGAACCGACTGGACGAGCAAGAATTCTACAACATTTATAAAGAAGATGAAATTCTCAAGCAATAGCCGTAACAACACGCGAAATGCTCGAAAACCTTTGTGGACAATGAATTCGAAAAAACGAATCGATTTCAGAATCCACACTGTACATGTGATGACGAGTCATGTAGTAATGAGATGGGAATCGATTCGCAATAGACCTTGACAAGAATGCCTTACGTCTGCATTCCAGAAGAACCCAGCAAACAACACGTGATTTTCCTAGCTTGGCACCCATCTCATTGCTCTGCAGCGCAAAGCTACCATCTTAACCTTTTTATTTACTGCCTATTCTTTTTAACGGCAGGGCATGTTGCGAAATATAACTTCTATAATGCTGAGATATTTGAAAAACTCCGGACCGCAGGTGTCTGAGGTGGGGAACGAACGCGCTATTGCCCTTTCTGGGGAGTAATGCGTTCACCACCACACCATGCGAATACTTCGTTTCGCCTGTCTCTCAGCTAGTTCTATCGATCTTTTGCCATCAACAATCACCCGTCAACGGGATTGATCTGGGGAGCCCAAATCGACATTGAACCCAGTTAAGCCGAGGCTGTAGTTATAATCACAATCTTAACCTTTTTATTTAATGCCTATTGTTTTTAACGACAGAGAATGTTGCGAAATATAACTTCTAGAACTAGCTGAGAGACAGGCGAAACGAAGGACCCGAATGGTGTGGTGGTGAACGCGTTACTCCCCGGAAAGGAGAATAAGGAGTTCGTTCCCCACCGCAGACACCTGCGATCAGGAGTTTTGCAAATATCTCAACATTATGGAAGCTACCATCTGGCTTCGAAAATTCTAAAAACCAAGTGCTTCATTCGAATAGTATTACTTCACTGTGTCCCTCGAATAAGTAGCCTACTTGGCAGCAGCTCTGACGTGTTACTGCGGCAAACGTTATTCATTCGTGTCTGCTCGAGTCGCCCTCCGGTTGCTAACGAGATTACGACCGATATAGGTGATTACTATGAAATTACCTGACTGCTGTCATGGCTTATAAGTTCGACTTGCTACAAATCGCAGTACCCAAATAACATTACGCACCCCGATTTGATTAAACTGATGTTCAAAATGCCTTCGAGAAATTTCTTATTAAGAAATTCCGGCTGTCCATAGCGCACTATTTATAGTTGAACTGAGGATTGAATGAATGCACCATAAAAGAAAACAGCTAAAAGAGATTAACGATTCGTAGAACTCACTGTGCGCCGAGAAATGTCATCTCTAGCAAGTGATTCGGAATGATGAAAATTTTTCAACTGCCTTCACTAATCCCATTGCATAAACGTTGACCATCACCATACTGGTGATTAGGTTTGATCTGTTTAACTTAACTCATTAACTTGATACTTCATATTTGAATGGCCCGTCCTCACTGGTTGTGTGGGCCCCATCATAACCTCCATTTTTCGGAGATTTATTGGTTAAGCCATTGTGGTTCCCTGGAATACTGAGGTCAGTCTGGCCAAAGTCCGCCAGGTCTTCACCATCAAAGGCAGTGGCCGCCCTTGTGAATCAGAGGGAGATTTGCCATTCGACAGCAACTCACACTCTTAAATTCTAATGAAGCAGATGGGAAAAGAAGGTGCAGTTCAGAAGTTGGCTGAAAGTCGGTATGAAACCTGATGTATCGTCGTGAACGATTTCGGAGGTAATGTAGTGACAATTCCCGTCATTCCATTTGCTTCTGTTCATACACAACCATAACTACTGCCAAAATGATCATCACC